CACCCCCCCCATCCCCAAAAGTTTCTCAGCGGATTTTGGCTGTACTCAGCAAGCGCGGTACAGCCCCTAACTCAGATTTGAAAAAAAATCAGTGGATGGCTGTTTTCTGACTGGTCGGCTGCAAAACGGTCGGCGGTCGTGGTCGGCAGTAGGCAGGGATGCAACCCCGTTGTTTGTGCTCTGGCGTGAAAGCGTGCATCGATAATTGGCTTGAGAAAAAGAAGCTTGCGAAAAGGTAGTGGGAGAGAGAGAATTCATCGCGAGAACACGAACAGAGATGTTATCGTCAATGAGTGAATGAATGCTTGAAATGTGAGGATTTTACCCCTCGGCATACCGGCATAAGGCCTCTGCAGCAAAACCCATGCCCGCCCTAAGAGAAGGTGGGCCCCCGAATCTCAATGAGCCCTGAAACCGTCAAATTTTGCAAATCTTGCTGAGCGCCAGACAGTTGCCACGCGCCAGTTGGTTACATCCGCCTTGCTCGTCAGAATCTGAAATACTTGTGAGCCTTCCAGGATCTTCCAGCAACGTCGTGAAAGCAGGGAACACCGCACTTTGTGCCTGGGTGGTTGGGCTTGCCTAACCAATTCGGTCCCAGGCCACTGTCTGAACAGGCCTGGGCGCAAACACTTTGGCCGAGACTGAAGCTACTGGGAACTCGGTCTCACGGGGCAAGCCAGTGGCAATGAGCCCGCCACTTTCCATATTGGAAAGGGCCAGGCTGTGAAGAGGGCATTCGGGCACTTGCTGTGCAAGCAGCACCGTTGCTGGAGGGTGCGCTAGCGGAGGTGTCCGTTCGTGTGTCCGGACGAGAGAGGAAGAAGGGCGCTGCTGAGGGCAGCGCCATAGCCAGCCCATCCATTGCCAGGCTCGGCTTGGACGGCCAGCGGAGGCGGTGGTGGTCTTCGTGTATGAGGAAAGACGTGGGTGAACACGACGAGGGAGAGGGAAAGAGAGATGAGGATGATGATGCGAGTGCACGTACCTGGTCTTGGCGATGGTCCACAGGGTCGACATCTTCATGTACTTCAGTTGCTGCTGTTGACGTCAACAGGCTGTGTTGTCAATTTGTAGGCCGGGTAGTGGCTGTGTGATCTAGTCTAGGCGCTGAGCTCCAAGTAGGAGGAAGCGCTCTGGAGACGTACGTTGGTGGTGGCGAGAGTATGCTCTCAATGACATTTGGATTCGATGCTTTGGTTCTCCGTTGGTGGAATATCAGTGCATATCTACTTTATGGACAGCGTTCGACTTTCTGGCTTTCAATGTGTTTTTACATTCTCGAATTCTGTCATTTCGCTATCGCTCATTTTCTTTGCAATTTGGTATCGGAACTGGTCCGAGCCGCTCCGCTCGCTCCTTCGAAATAGCTGTTTGGTGCTTCGCTGGATATGGTGGGGCAGTAATAACACTTGCGTTGGTGAGAAGGTGGCCCAGGGTCGTGTGGGCGAGCCAGGAAGGCTATATGGTGACATAGGGCTGCACGCTGGATGATGAGAGCTCGCTGATGTGGCATTTAAGCCGAGGTGGAACTGCATTGTATTGTGGGTTGTGCCGAGGCATCAACCGGTCATCATAAATGCACATCAGGTTACTGGTGAGAAATCTGTGGTGGGGGGCAGCATTGTGAGGTACGTTGCTCCTTACCTTATCTACCCTCTTCATTACTTCTTATCGTGAGGAAGTGAGTTCTGTCTTGAAAATCCTCTCATTGTGAGGTGTCGTGAACACTCGACCTTGAGAGTCGACATGCTTTGTCGCTTGTCCTTTGGTCTGCTTGCTGCGCTGTAGAGGTCATGTCGGGCAGGCCATCCCTGTGAGGAAGAGACGAGTACCCGACCTTCTTTAAAGAGACTCCAGCAGGGATACACGACTCGTGATGTGCGAGTATAAAAATAGGTCAGTCAGGGCTGGCCAGTTCTGCATTGACTTGGGGCACAGGGGTGGGTCGATTGCACACCTTTGGACACGCCGCTGAACGAGAGCTTCAGGACGTCGACACAAAGTGACTACTCAAGAGGGATACAGGGGGAGGGAAGATTCCAGTAAACTGTTCGATTGTAAATTATTGTATAATTACATTCTGCATGCACACCCGCAAATGATTTTAGTTGTGAGTGTTGTGACGGACTTTGCTAACAACTAACAAACTGCTGCCGTGAGTGTTGTGACGGACTTTGCTAACAACTAACAAACTGCTGTCGATAGAGTAGTAAATATTATTGGCTGCATTGCAATCTGTTTCAGACTAGCCAAAATTGGAAATAGAATTGTTTGTAGGAATCTGAGATTATCTGCTGTTACCGCTTGGCTACTTTCTGACAAAGCTGGACCGAGCAATTATTTTACTGAGTGACGACGCCGCCTGGCCGGGCAGGCCCGGGGGGAGCGCCCGGGCAAACCGGGCGGTTGGTCTGGGTGGGGGGTGCTGGGGTTGGGGGGGTGTCTGGGATGGATGATGGAGGATGGCGAGATGGGATTGAGGGAGGGAGGGATGGAGGATGGAGAAAGGCAGGGAGGAGTAGGGAAGGAGGGGAAGAAGAAGACGAGGAGAGAAGAAGACCTAATGAGGGGGGAGGAAGAAGAAGAAGAAGAAGAAGAAGAGAGGTGAGGAGGGGAAGAAGAAGAAGATGAAGAAAGGTCGAGGAAAAAGATGAAAACGCAAGGGGGAGGAGGGGAAGAAGAAGAAGACGAGAGGACGACGAGGAGAGAAGGAGAAGAAGAAGATGACCGAAGAAGGAGGGAGAGGAGGACAGCCTTCGTTTTTGTTTTTTTCTTTAACCTAACGTGGCTCATGTGACCTACCGAAAGTCAACGAACTAAAAGAAGAAGAAGAAGAAGAAGAAGAAGAAGAAGAAGAAGAAGAAGAAGAAGAACGGCTCCTTCGTCGTTGAGGCCTTGGTCGTAGCACCAGGGCCTTCGTCGTAACAGCAGCAGCAGGACAGTCGGGGCCTTCATCGTAGCAGCAGCGGCAGGACACTCGGGGCCTTTGTCGGAGCAGCAGCAGCTGCACACCTGATGGTGATGGCGACGGGCGACGGCGCAGCAGGAGGAGGCCGGCAACTGGGATCGTGCTGAGGGGCGAGTGGCAGCCCACCCCAGCCGATCGAAGGTTTGAAGGGGGAAGAGAGAGTTTGGTGCCAAGATGCCACAGCTCTGTGGCCGTTGATCATGGAGGATCGACGTTCACAGAGCTGACGAAAAATTCAAAAAACAAAGCAGGCCTACCGGGCCCGACGCTGAGGTTTTTTGGGCCGGTCGGGCCCGGTAGGCGTGCAGGAGGCCAGCAGCAGCCGAAAGGGGGTCCGAAACCCCCCGGCAGGTGACTGCGCAGGGGGGGGCCGGCCCCCAACCGGGTGCTGTTACATCTTCGACGCCACACGGGTCCTACCGGACCCGACGTAGGGGTAGAGGGACACAGTAGGGCCAAAGGCCCGACCTTGGGGGGTACTACAGGCCGTAAAGGCCCTACCTTGGACCAGACCCGACGGGCCGGCCCAAACGATATTATCGTTTGGGCCTGGCGGCGCTCTTGAGGCTGCCGCCCGCCGGTTGGGGCTGAACCGTCCATCTGGACGGTTCAGGGCACGGTCAGGCCTCGCAGCATAGAGGCCGACCTYTGCCCACCGGTACAAAMGTACCGGTCCAGCCTCAGTGAGGYTATCGACCTACCGGCATTCTACCGGTACGRTATGGTACARCGCRATACAGCGYTGGCGCTAAGTTTAGCGCAGGAGCAGCGAGGAGCAGCAGCGCAGCATTAGCGCAGCAGCAGCGAGCGAGCAGCAGCAGCGGCGACTGAGTGTGCCGGCGGCCATAGCCGCCTGAGGTATCGGGAGTTGGAGGCCTCTCTCCTCCCTCCCTTCGCCAGTCCCCTCTCTCTCTCTCTCTCTCCTCCTCGGCTCCTTCTTCTTCTCTTCTTCTCTTCAGACATCATCTTCTTCTTCTTCTTCTTCTTCAGATTGGAGACTTATACTAGTGGACAGAGATCAGTGTTGGACTTCGGTGGTATGAGACTGTGGTACTTACCAGATTGGAGACTTGGAGATTGTTGGGGTTGATACTTGGCGGCATCACAGTTCGGACACCGGTTAGATTTGGACTCTGTATCTCCGACATTGGTGACTGATTGTCCTCGACATTTTGATCTTGTTGGATGACATTTTGGACTACCATATCGGTGACCTATCGGATTCTATCTCGGTGACCTACCGGTGCTGTCTACCTCCCCCACCTCCTTCGTCTCTCCTCCCACCTTTCATCTGTGTATGTGTGTACGGGATCTGGGCATCGTCCATGCTTGGCCCAGACCCCACCATCTCACGATTGTATGTGTGTGGAGTGATTCTTGAGTCAGTCTATGTGAGTCAGTATATGTGAGTCAGTCCGTTTATCAGACTTCCGCTGCATATATGCTCATCCTACATTGGTTGATCTTTGGTTCTGCCCATACTCATTGAAGTATGTAACAGTTTTGGTATCGGAGCAGACCAATTACAGATCTGCTCACCAGGTAAGACTGATTTAGGGATTAGATTGTTCTTCAATCTTCCAAATCAGCGCTGAATTACTATCAAGTTCAAAGTTGCAAATTTTTTTTTCTTTTTTCGGTATTCTGTTTATTTCGGCATTTCCGTTTCAATTCAGTATTCGGAATTATTATTCAGATTTCTGTTTTACGCCGGTATGATGTTTAATTAGCATCCGATAAATTGATACTAATCCAACATTCTGTTTGATTCGGATTTCTGGTTAGTAATTCGTGATTAGGGTTAAATGAACTGAAATCAGCTTTCTGTTGATTTCGGTATTCTGATTTCTTTCGGTATTCCGTTTTTATTTCGGCATTCTGATTTTTAATCCGGTATTTCGTTTTACAAATCGGCATTTCAGTTTTATCGCAGTAGTGGAAATTAGGGTTACGAAATCTTTTGGTTTTAGATCAACTTGGGGAATTCGAACGTTTTGGGGACCGTAAATCCGGAAATTCCGCCGAAACGCGGAAAATTAGGGTTGGGACCGAAATTTTCGCGAATTTTTTTTTTCGTTCCCCTTGTTTGAGAAATTCCGAAAACAGGTTTAGGCCTTTAAAAATCGGATTTTGACGGTGGAAATTCCCGAAATTCATGTTTTTGAAAACTCGAGTGTTTTCCCCTAACTGTTCCGAGAATTTTTTCGGCAAACTAATCCGAATCTAACCCTCAAAGTTGCAACTTCCGGATAGTTCACTCATTACCGGTGAACTCCGGGACCGAAATTGATCTCAAAGAGACCTGATCTAAATACAATTCAAAATTCGTTCATTATCATTATTGCAAAGATTGTTTTAATTGATTATCGTTAAGAAATCATTATTGCAAAGATTGTTTATTGATTATCATTAAGAATTATTTTTTCGTGTTAATCAGTAATTAATTTTATTGATTAAATCATTCGTTATTAATTCTTTTTATTACGAATTTTTGGAATTATTTACGGGAAAATTTATTTTTTCTGTTTGATTAGGTGTCTTAGTCCATCCTTGGGACAGGGACTGTATGTTGATTGCTTGATCTGTTCTATCCCTGTACCCACCCTCTCCCTCACACTGTTCTGCGATCCTTTGGACGAGCCAGTCTTCAGCAACAGTTTCTGATGCCAGCAGGGCCAGCCTCCGAACAGCCGCCACGACGCAGCAAGAGGATCGCCGATCACCAACAGCGACAGCAACCTCCAGTTCCGCAACCTCCACAGACCAGTACTCAGATGGCGAACACGCCACACAGCGGATCATCATCCGAGGGTTCGACAGCTAGTAATGCCGAACCCTTACCGGTCTGTCCGGTGCGAGGGTCGAATGAGCCCCTCCCGGACTTCATTCAGAGAATGCAGGACTATACAGCCSCACTCACCCAGGTCAAGGAACAGCAAGAGGCTGCCGCGGCCGAAAGACTACRGCTAGCARAGGAAGCTGCAGCACAAACCCGGCGTCAAGCCGAGGCAGACCAGTTGGCGATCGATCAGCTCAACGCCGGCAGCGCTGAAGTTGTAAGTGCTAACCAAGCACAATGGACAGCGGTGCTCAACGGGATGCGTTATGTCCCGGCACCCGGCAGCGAGCCGACAACAGAACAGCAAGAGAGGCACGACCTGGCAGATATTCTACTCCATACAATGCGCGCCGTCATTTGGAACAGCTCCATGGAGGAGCTGCATTCCCGGTCCACACTGCAGCTGCAGCACGATCTGAGCCACAACGTGAAGATACTGGCAGCAGCTGTCAAGGTCGCGGACAACCAGTTGAAACAGCTGGATGCACGCATTGCTACCTTGGAGGCAAGGCCTCCCCAAGCAGCGCCAGGCTGCACGCCAGATATGACAGACACAACGAAGCAGCTTAATGGGCGCATCGATCATGTCGTCAATCTCATCGGCGACATAGGTGTTTTCAATGGGCCGGCCACGATCAGTAGCACGGTGGCCGCCATCAAGACGGACATCACCAAGCTGCAGACGAAACCGGACGCCACTACGAAGAACTACAAGATGCCGCACTTCGACATCAGCAAGTTCGACGACCACAACAASACGGACGCTTTGGCATGGTGGCAACGTTTCCTCACGGAAGCATCATGCCGCACTGTCCCGGACGACTATCTGATGAAGGCGTTATACTTACAGCTGATTGGAGGAGCGCAGGCATGGATGAACCATCTGGCGGCTACCCACACATGCACCATCGCCGAACTTCACACGCACATCATGTGGAAGGAGTTCGAGCAGCTATGGTTCACCCGTTTCATGGTCCGCAACGTCGTGAAGGCGGACATGAACGAGGTGTACACCTGCTCTCAAGGAAGTATGCCAACTCGAGACTGGACAACCAAGTGGCAGAAGATAGTGACCACGCCAGGCTTCGATTTGACTTTTCCTAATCAACGATCCGAGTTCTTCTCGCGATCGTGCGCAGGATTGCGGTCGGCACTCGGTAACGAGTACGACTATACCTCGTTCCAGGCTATCCTGGATCGCGCAAACCTGGTCATCCAAACGGACGACAAGGCCGCTAACGAGAAACAATCCCACCCGCATTATGTGGCTAAGCATGGCTATCAACGTCCGGCACATAACAATGCCGTGATTTCTGAAGAAACAGACGATCTCCACGCTGCAGCAGCATCCTCGAGTGATGGAGGAATTGTAGCAGCGCTCCCGCCGAAGCATCCTAAGAGGGTCCGGAAACCCAAGGTGACACAAGAGACGGCATCGACGGGAACTGGGCAGCAGCCATGGATGGCCTACAACATCACCAAGGAAGTCTATGAACTTCGTCAAAAGTATAGATATTGCCTTTGGTGCAATGGAGTCACACACTTGACTGCACAATGCCCCGAAAAGGGCAAGGCACGCGTACTCCGTCCAGCAAACTCGGGAAACTGAGTTACGCAAGGAGAGGGGCGACGTCTCTCCTCACTCCGCCGGAACCGGTTGCCTTGCTAGCAATCGATGTCACTACCGGGGAGCATGCGTTAGTCGCTGATTCTCGTGCTTCGTACGAGGATTATGCCGCCCAGCTGGTACCACCATTAGACCAGCCAAGTCACGTGCATTTAGCTAGCGTATGCGCAGCCTGTACACCGTCGGCAAGTGATCCGGTCAGTTCGCCACTTATTTTGGAGGACTCGACGGCGTGGTCAAGACTTGAGGAGCTTGACCCGCTCACGAGAGAGGACTTCGCTTGGATGCCTCTACCCTCGACCGGAACCTTGCCAAGGCCGCATTGCAACGCCTTGATGGCAGATTTACGCTCCTATTTGCACACTACAGTACCAGCTCCGTTGACGGACGACGCGGTAGCGGTTGTCGATCTCCGCTCTTATCTTGCGAAGATTGACCGCGAGTACGCCACCCAAAGGTACGCTGAAACCGACGCGCCTTTGCTCTATATCCGCATTCAAATCGGAAAGGGAACCTGTAGTGCCTTGATTGATTGCGGAGCGTCTCGCAACTTTATGAGCCAAGCCTTTATGGCCCGCGCAAGCCTTGGCCCGCGCGTTCGAAGGAAGACGCAACCCACGCAAGTCACACTCGCGGACGGCCGCACGCAAAAGTCAATTGACCAATGTGTCGACGGCGTTCCGGTATACTTTGCGCCACTTGCGTGCGAGCCGGTGTCTTTTGACATCCTCGACACCAAGTTCGACATGATTCTTGGCATGTCATGGTTGCGTAGCGCCGACCATCCGGTGAACTTTCATGACCGAACCGTTCACATCCGTGATCGGAACGGAGTGTTAGTCCCATGTACGGTCGCGACCCCTCACACTTCGATTGCTTGTCACGTGGTTT